AAAAGAGTACTTCTTTGACATTCTTCCCCGTCGGCATTTAGCCATGGCCCCCAAATGGAAGACTTCCTTGAGAAACTTTCCAGGCGCCCGAATTTAGTTGGGCCTTTGGGGAAGTCCGAAATCGGTTGGTCAATTTTGACGGCAAAATTCAAGAAATTGAAGCCAGGTCATACTGGTACCAGCAGACCTTCCGGGAACCTATAACCATGATTGTAATTGATTGAGCACATCCCAAATTATACCAAACTAATCCAAATGAGAGGTTAGTTTCAAACATTAAAAATTGATCATTTGATATGTAAATTGGACCCCATTAACAATTAGCAATTGCATAACCAGATAACTGCAGCGTATTAAAGGTTAATCTGCATGTTCATTGCTTTTGGCAGAGTTGTGTAGCTCCTCGGTTTCATTGAGGTTCAATCATGTGAATTCCCAGGTTAAATCAGCTCAATGTAAGTAGATCCTACTAAAGACCCAGATTGATTTTGTTAAGTTACCAGATTGATTGCGTGTAAATACCAAACGACTTGGTCATGTTAAGTTATACAGTATAATCTTACATGTATGAAACACACACACAAACATTTGTTTATACATATATGCATGTACACATTGCACACGCATTTATGATAAATTCATATACACAGTATTCATACAAATCCCACCTTAAACTCCCAGGATTGCATCTCCCAAATCCCAAGATCTCGTCTTCCGCAGGGAACGCCTTCACGCGGCATTTGCTTCGATGGGATTTGGTGAATCGCTTGGCACCTGGGCGGAGGGTCCGTCACTGAAAGCATGGATGGATTCCATAGCCTTGGGCGGGATCCATAGAGGGAAACATTGGGAAATCCGGGGTGGATAGGAATTTGTGGGCTGTCAAGGTATGTTAAGTAGTGCAAAGATTTATTGTTGGGTTTCCCAGAAAATGTCCCAACTGGATAAGATTTCCCAAGTCAAAACATATCAACTATAATGATGTATAATGTCATATAATGTCTATCTGTTACAAAGGGTACACACACACATATATATATACACACACTATACGCGTCAAATTTCCCAACAAATGGGTTTCCCACATTAGAAACCTCACGTATCGGGGCTCATTATTGGAGCTTTATGCCTTGGCTTCCCAACAAATGTCCCTAGCAAGAAAAACACATGCCCCAAAATAATAAAATGTCCCAAGTGGAAACAAATCAAATATAATGTCTAACCTTTTTAAAGTATCTAGATAACTATATTTTGTTTTTTTACTACAATCTATATGTATATACATACTGGTTGGTGGTTTGGAACATTTCTTATTTTTCCATATATTGTTGGGAATCATGATCCCAACTGACGGACTCATATTTTTCATTGGGGTAGGTCAACCACCAACCAGATTATAATGTTGAAACTGTGTTTCCCCATTGGCACCTCGATGACTCGATGACCGTTTGGAGCAAGGCTGAGAAACCGGACCGCCTCAGCGTCTCTGAACTGCTGCTGCTGGCCCGACAGTTCTTCGCTCTACACGCCCTGCTAGGCGCCTGGGGCGTGGCGGCAACAGGACATACAGTTGCAGTTGGGGTTGGTATGGTAGGATTTGCCATGAACATGTGTGGTTTTATGGGATTCAACCAAGAGAACTATGGTGGTCTTATGGGAATTAACATGAATTAACATGAGTTCACATGATTTCACCATCAAGAATGGTGAATAATTGTGGGTGAAGGAAGGTGGTTCGACCACCAAGAGTTGGGATTGAAATAGTGATTATCACGTTTCATGGTGGTATAGTTGGATTTCGTATGGATTGTGGGACCAACAATATGATATTTGGATGTGTTGAAACATGGTGGACATCCCAAAAAATGCCAGTTTAGGAAAGTGATGACATGACGTGGATTTATTCCTTCATATATACCGCATAGATTCGTGGAAAAAATGTATGCAATTTCCTGGGCAACCAACAAAACCACACAACACCCATGGTTTCTCATCAAATGTCTCTCTAAAATTGCAAGTTTTAATTTTAATGATCTCAAACCTGTATGGGAATTGCTACCACATGGAAATGGTCGACCAAACCTCATAAATCACGGTTCGCCTTGAGGAAGCCAAACCTAGCCGCCAGTATTGAAAACCAGAGTGTGGTTTGGGACAGCAGTTGAATTGGTTTTGGCCACCCTCAAAGGTGATAAAAGTAGAATGCATGGCTCACAAAGTATGGTTTCAACCAACCAAGGGTTTATCAATCCTCAATTGATTTCGTCGGTTCACCCAGAAAGTCCGATGATGATCCATGTTAAGCTTCATATGTTGGCAGACCTTTGAAACATCAACCAGACAAGCACCAGCAGATTTCTCGGCCGCTTGCACTGAGGCTTGCTGGGTTTGTTGGTGGAGGCACTGGCGCAAACAGTGACGCTTGCGGGCCTTTGGAATGCCCCTTGGATGGAATCAGCGACCACTTGGCGAACACCATACAGACAGTCCCACCGGTGGATGTTTGATGATGGAATTTTGTGGAGATCCAACAGCCAACAGCTAACCGTTCCTTATCCAATTATCCCCCTAAGTTACTATTCCTTTTTATATGCATATATACATGCATACAAATATATATATATATATACATACACATCGCAGACCCGAACACAAGATAGTGCAGTAAATCATCCTTCTCAAATCGTGAGAAACTACTCTTCATTTGTTGGGTACTACTATATGATCGAAGGAAGTTTGGAAGTCAAACTTCCGACAATATGGAGAGATGAAAAAGCAGTCAGCAGGGAGAAGAGTCAGAGGAGAAAAGATCAGAAGAAAGAAGATGCAGGTGCGCGAAAAGGTAGGAAAGTTGCGATTCACTGTGTTTTTTCGTGGTTTTGTGGCTCCGGAGGGTCGAAAAGTAGGCTCGCTAAAGTGGCGGGTGTGGAGCCATCTGGCCAGGTGAGAGATGAAAAATTGCACGCCGTTGTGGCGCGAAGCACGTTTCCAAGTCAAAATGTACAAAACACCTCAGGAGCGGACCACTTTTGGCAGTTGAGATGTCGAAAAAGTGCACGCCGTTGTGGCGCGAAGAACATTTCAAAGTGAAAATGTACAAAACACACCAGCTCCGGACCACTTTTTGGAGTTGTGATGTCGAAAAAGTGCACGCCGTTGTGGCGCGAAGCACATTTCCAAGTCAAAATGTACAAAACACACCATTCTCGGACCACTTTTGGAAGTTGCAATGTCGAAAAAGTGCACGCCGTTGTGGCGCGAAGCACATTTCCAAGTCAAAATGTACAAAGCACACCATGCTCGGACCACTTTTGGAAGTTGAGTTTAGAAAAAGTGCGCGCTGTTGTGGCGCGAAGCACATTTCCAAGTGAAAATGTACAAAACACACCATGCTCGGACCACTTTTGGAAGTTGAATTTGCGAAAAAGTGCACGCCGTTGTGGCGCGAAGCACATTTCCAAGTGAAAATGCACAAAGCACACCATGCTCGGACCACTTTTTGGATGTTGAGATGCCTTCACTACACTACACTACACTACACTACATTACCGTGTTAAGCTAGATAAATAGATAGCTAGATATCTAGATAGATAGATAGATGGATAGATGGATAGATGGATAGATGGATAGATGGATAGATGGATAGATGGATAGATGGATAGATGGGTAGATGGATAGATGGATGGATAGATAGATAGATAGATAGGTAGATAGATAGATAGATAGATACATACACTAAATTACACTACACAACACTGCATTACAGAACACTACATTCCACTACACTACACTACATTACACTACATTACACTACCTTCCACTATACTTCACTACATTACACTGACTACACTCCACTAGACCACAACTACAACTACAACCACACAACTACACCCCACTACACCCCACTACATTCCAATACACTAAAATACACTCCACTACACTTCACCAAATATGGACAGATAATAAGGAAAGCAGGGCAGAGGCAGAGAGGAGAGAAAGATTAGACGAGAGAAGAACATGGTGATGGATACCTGTGGACATGGATGAAGAGATGGACGGAAAAAAAAACTAACAGAGAGAAGTAAGTGGATGGATGCATGGCTGGATAGACAGAAAGATGGAGAGTTTAATAGTTAGGTGAATAAACAAATCGAACGATAGCTACATGAATAGACAGGTAGATGATAGGTAGATGGCTAGAAAGGTAACTCTGTAGATAGATGGCGAAAGAGAGAGACAGAGAGAAAGAGAGAAAGAGAGACAGAAAGGGAGAAACACTCAACCACCTTTCAATCCATCAGTGGGTTCGCTCTGCCATTCTTGCGCCACAGCAACGCACCTCTCCTATAGGTTTTTCATTTTTGAAACTTCCGCCACCGCCTTGTGCGGTACTGCTGGTAATACCATATGAAATTCATGAAGTTCAGAGTCTAGTCCGGCATCTACCAATTTTTGCGCTGCGTGAAGACCAGGTGGCTTTCCCACTGACCGGCATGCACTTTGCCAGGGAGAATGGAGGCCAGGATAGGCCAGGGTTAACCTTCATCACTGCTTGGATTACCGAGGGGATACGGCAGATACCCATGGCGAGGTGCCATTGGCTGGTGAACCGCAGCCACAGGGATGGGAATTCTTGGAACAAAGACCCAAACATACTTGGTGTTGTATGTTCAAGTTACTGGCTGCTTCATAGACATGGCTTTTTTCATGACTTAACATGTTACAGCCAACCTAAAGATTGGATCAACAAGTCTAGCTCGTGCATATCTATCCAGCGCATCAACTAGTCACCGGGATGCACATCCAGGTGGTAATCGCGCTGTGCGATGGTGGATTGCATACTGGCTTCTGGAGCACCCTGGAAAAAGGGAGAGATGTATCCCATATGCGCCATGTATCCAGGTATGCTTGATTGAAGTACTTTTGGTAAATGAAGATAGATATGGGAATTGCATGGAACGTTTGGGTATTCCATTCCGTATCTAGTCGCGCTAAAATAACACGATACGGAGGGCACGGTATGTTTGCCTTCGGAGCAATGATGGAGGGTGATGAAGGAATATGTCAATGGTATGAAGCGCGCTGCCAAGGACCTTGTTTAACTTCTTCCAGAGTATCAGCCGTGGTGATACGAATTTGCGAGCACTAGCGGTCTATGGTGTGCAATGGTTGGCTTTAGCACGTCTGTGGTGTTGGCTGCACGTGCAGCAAACCTCTTCAGCCCCTTAGCAAAACTGGAAGGAATTTGGTTTGAGGAATGAGGACTGCCATTTCACCATTTGTAAGGGTACGTTTATCAACTGTTGACGATTGTTGCTGACCACTGTGCCGGATGCCGATATCTACATACGCACAGACCTGTCCATATCACAAGCTCATGATCTTTTGTGAGCTCCTCATGTGGGTTGGTCCAAAGATATAGCAGCCCCAATTCATATGGCTAATGATCATGTTCCAACAAAATGCTATTTTGGAGCATGCTACCCTTTTTTGGGGCGAATTCATGTAATGTGCTCAACACTGTGTAACACTTTGCGCGAAGCTATCCGTTGGGGATGGTGTTTACAGCAGCTTTTACCACCCATGAATCTGGTAATCATTGGGGATGGTAAACATCATTGGGTTTGCCAGACTATCTTTCGGCTCAGGTCCAATTCTACTTGAACATTGTGATTGAGAGCGGCAAGGAGCCGGGGTCGCAACAAATGATCTGTTCTGGCTGAGGATGTGCAAGCCCCTTCGTGGCAGAAGGATATACAAGGAACGAAATTCCAGAAAGACATCCACCAGAAATATGCTTTTATTATGATTTCTCATCTATGATGACAGGTCCCAGAGGTGACAAAGTCCTTTGCACATGGCCCAACTGCTTCTTTCTGTGTTAATTTTAGGGCGAGTGTAAACTGTAAAAGAAAGATCGATTTGGAACTGGGCCTGACAAGCTGCAAACCTTAAAATCAGCTGTCAACTTAACTGTATTTATCAATGGGTCGACTAAACAATTCCCCCTATGTATACGATTACAAGAATGTGTGCAAGTGGGTTGTCAACCAACTTCCTCATTTTCAAACATCATATACTTATATGTAGTTTACTCATGATCAGAAAAACAGATACACCTTTAACATCACATCACATCACATCACATACCATGATCACATCACATACCATGCATACATGCATACATGCATACATGCATACATGCATACATGCATACATGCATACATGCATACATACATACATACATACATACGTACATACATGCGTACATACATACATACATACATACATACATACATACTGTACATACTGTACATACTGTACATACTGTACATACTGTACATACTGTACATACTGTACATACTGTACATACTGTACATACTGTACATACTGTACATACTGTACATACTGTACATACTGTACATACTGTACATACTGTACATACTGTACATACACATACTGTACATACATACTGTACATACATACATACATACATACACATACATACATACATACATACATACATAAGATACTGTACATACTGTACATACTGTAGATACTGTACATACTGTACATACTGTACATACTGTACATACTGTACATACTGTACATACTGTACATACTGTACATACATACTGTACATACATACATACATTCATACATACATACATACATACTGTACATACATACATGCATACATACATACATACATACATACATACTGTACATACTGTACATACTGTACATACTGTACATACTGCCCATACTGTACATACTGTACATACTGTACATACTGTACATACTGTACATACTGTACATACTGTACATACATACATACATACCTACCTACCTACCTACATACATACATACATACACACATGCATACATCCATGCATTCATGCACATATCATGGTTTATCATCAGCATATTCAGCAATTGGAACTCATTGAGTCCATCCCCCTACAGCTTGGCATCAGGAGACTTGGCTGAGCCGCGCCACGGCCAGCACCATTCGCAGCACCCGAAGCACATCGGTGGTACCGTGGCATCCGCTGTGTGGATTTTCTAAAAAACATAAATAAGAAACATGTTCATTCATTCACCAATAAGATTTTGACATTTCAATGATCGTCTGATCGTGTCTGAAAATAAGATGACATGCATGATCATTGAAATGCTTAGTTGAAATGCATTTCATGGCATTTGCATGATCGCGCTGATGAAACATGATCGTCATATGCATGTCAGTATTTTGGCATGACTTTGATGTGACGCGTCGATGCTGTTTTACGTTTACCATATTTACCATTGGGTCATTCCCCATTTGGGGAGTCTACAGGGATTGCGCAGGTGGGGGTTCAACAGATTGTATACGCCAAGGATAGGAGGGGTAAAATGATCTGGATATTGGTTCGTTCAATTTAGAGCTAGCAGTTTTGCAGTCTGGTGGTCCAAGTATTTCCTTCTAGCTTTGCCGGATCCTTTGATATGTGGACCGATGATCACTACCAAGGAGCATGTGTCTTCTTCCTGTGATGTGGGGCGCAAGCAATGTTTTGAGATTGAGATGTTCAACCAATGATCACCTGATTGCCTGGTGGTAAACCAGTTGTTGGTATTTTGGATTCCCAGCCCAGCGTTCCACTATGAAGGGGGATTGCTTTATCACCTTTTTCCATCCTGTGTTCCCATGCCATTTGTTTGAGCCAACGGCTGGAACTCGGGAAACTTTGGAGAAGACCCTGAAATTACCCTCTGGTAATTTGTTACAGTTTGCTATTGAAAATGGCCATTGATAGTGAGTTTTCCCATTAACAGCATGGTGATTCTCCTTAGTTATGTTAGTTTACCAGAGGGTCCCATAGACTTTGCATTTTTCGATATCAAATTTCCAATTGCAGGGGTTTCCTGCATGTTTTCCCGTCAGGGAACTTGGATCCATAGCTTCGGGCTCTGCTGAGGATTTGCTGGCGGACAAGACTTTCGCAGATGACATCTTTCCTTTGCTTCAGACCCGGTGGATGGATGCTGTGGGAGAGTTGCTGCCACAGGCTAGTTTGGATGTTAAGCTGGTTGATCTGATCACGATATTTCAAGTGCAGTTTTAACCATATGTTTTGTTTTCTATCCTAGGTCGCACGGTGATCCTGATTGACAATTGACCCATGTTCGTTTGGAAAGGAGTGGAATCAGTATCTAAAGAACAATGACATCACTGGATGTAGCAGCAATTTGGGGCCCAACGGCTTTCTGTGGGGATGGATCAAAACCTGCAATGTACCACACACTAGACAAGAATGGATCATTTCAGTGATCCGTTGAGAACTGAGTCCCATAAACCTAAACCTAGACCTGACCTTATGTAATTATATATATAGTCCCCGTGGCAATTTCCACTCTAGAACTGGTGAACCTCTGCATAGTTTAAACGAAATTCTTAATATATTGGAATTTTAAAATTGATGTTAGGCTAGTCATTTTATTGTTGGGGGGTTGGGCTAAGCATTTTATTGTAAAGGTAAATCCTGATGATTTTTAACATGTTAAAATTCCATTCTCATTTTATTGCAAAAAAATGTTTGCTTGGAACATTTTATTGCAGAATGGAACCAGTGTTTTTCCAGGATCTTTTTATATCGATTTTATTGGGCATGTCATTTTAGATCAGCGAATTGTAAGGAATTTGAAGGAATTCTAAGGAATTTTAAGGACTATGAACATGAAGGAATTTTAAAGGAATTATAAGGAATATTAAGGAATTTTAAAGGAATTATAAGGAAATTTAAGGAATTTAGAGAGTTTTAAGGAATTTTAAGGAATCTTAGAGGAATTTTAAGGAATTTAAAGGAATTTGACGGAATTTGAAGGAATTTGGAGGATTTTTAAGGATCTTTAATGTTTTTAAATTTTAAAGGATATTTAAGGAATTTTAAGGAGTTTTTTGGAATATTAAGGAATTTTTAAGGAATTTTAAGGAATTGCCACGAAAGAATGCCACCGTATTTTGTTGCTATAGAATGCTATTTTAAAAAAACACACTAAATATTTGGGCACCTTCACTCTAAAATACCCCTATCTAAGATGGATTTCCTGACCTCTTTTTAAAGATGCGTTTCTGAGGGTCTTCAAAATTGGATGAAATTGGATCATGTTGGATGCACATTCAAGCATGAATTTGGTGGCAAGGCATTTTATTGCAGAGCCAGTTTTCATTGTTTTTGTGCATTTTAAAGCCTGAGGCCTATGCACAAAAGTTAGACCGCTCTAAAACTCCTGCACAGCTTCACATAATGAATTGGCACCCCGATTATATATAATTATATTTAATTTTATATATATATATATATATATACAGGACTACGGTGGCAACCAGCTGCGACTTAAATGCGCCCAGGTGCACCACCGAAGTCCTGCGGGTACGTTTACTCGGGTCCCAGGGACGTGTCTTCGTTGGTCACCGCCCCCCCCGGGACCCCGGTGACCCCCCGCAATATATGAAAAAGGAAGTATAACAGAAGTTTTACATCTATTCACATGTTAGACACACACACACACCCGGCCGGAGCCGGTTCTACCCTGAAAGGCAAGAGGAAGAAAAAAGCGGACATATACGACGGGCAGCAGAAGGCTAAAAAAAGCGCAGGCGGGGAGGGAACAAACGGACCTCCAGAACCAACTTACACGGCGAGACGGACCTAACCAGCACAGGGCACACACTTAAACCCCACGACGCATTACAGAGGGGCACGGGGGAAGAAATAGGGACCGAATGGGGGACTAGTTGGCGACGAGAAGTGAAACAACAAATTAATTAACATTAATGGGATTCAGTTCTTTCCTAAAGAGTCGTGCGTTACTCCCGGCCGGGAACGTTGTCAAGTCAAGCCACGTGGGCATAAACAGCTGTTCAAGTTCCAACGAATTAGATGCACGATATGTTCAACCTCACCAGATACCAAAAAGACCATACCTGCAGGAAGAGGACATGCTGTTGCCTTCTGTCGCTCATGTCATGTTTCACATCAAAAAAGCAGCTGCAGCGAGAAAAAGGAGTTTCTGATTGTTCTGCACGGCTGTCCTCAGGTAGAAGTGAAGATTCCAGGAGGCACTGGGACAGCAGAGTCCGCAAGAAGTCGCAAAAAAGGCTGAAAAGCGAAAAGGCCGACTGTTTCGCTTTACGTAAAGGAATTACCAGCTTAACTTGTGTTAATTCGGTAGTCAAATCGGTCCAAATTCTCCCTGAAAAGGGATGCCTCAAATGACTCCATGGCACCATGTCAGAGTCACCATGGAAATCACACTAGACAAGAATGGATCATGTCAGTGATCCGTTGGGAACTGAATCCCATAAACCTAAACCTAGACCTGACCTTATGTATATATATATATAGGACTACGGTGGCCGCCAGCTGCGACTTAAATGCGCCCAGGTGCACCACCGAAGTCCTGCGGGTACGTTTACTCGGGTCCCAGGGACCCTGGTGACCCCCCGCAATATATGAAAAAGGAAATATAACAGAAGTTTTACATCTATTCAGATGTTACACACACAGAGACACAGAGGTTTATTTATATATATATATATATTATGTCTGTGTGTGTGTATGTGTATGTAATTATGTGTGATTATATTTATAATTATTTTTACATATTCTCTATTTATATATATTTGTATATATATTGGGGGGAACATAAATCCCAGCTCTTTTGTTGTGAAAACCATGGATTTTCCACAGTTTTGACTCATACCCTTGCCATTTATCAATGCACTTGGCCCTCCCCTCCCCAATTGGTGGCAATATGGTTACTGTATGTGTTTATGAGTATACCATGGTACTATGCACAAACCTCTTGTTTCACACACACAAGAGGAAAGACACATAACATGTGTACTGTACATATTCTGGTTTGTATGTTCTCCCCAGCTCTTTGACGAAGGAACATGTACCACATAGGTGGCGTCCTCTAGTTATAAGTTGTTTTATAAAGCCAACCTAACATCATCCAATTATAGTTCAAACAGTTACATGACATATTATCAAAAGCCCCAGTACTATCTACGGATAGAGATGGATAAGAAAGAAAGACAGATAGGTAGATAGATAGATAGACAGACAGATAGATAGACAGATAGGTAGATTATATAAATAAAACCATCAGACTATCCTTATCACAACTGAGCGATTTGGTGCTTGCCGAGGACAAGTATGCCTCACGCCTGGCGGACAGCGTGGAGAAGATGATCTGCGAAAAGCTGCGGGATGAGGCCGCCATCTTGGCGAAGGCCGCGGTGAACGGCGGAAACCTGTAAATGGGAATAGTCAAATTCCGTGGTTGAAGTTTGTTAGTCCAACTTTCAAGCGTTCGTTGTAAATCAGTGAATTCCATTTTACTGTTGGAGAACTACTGTGGTTGTGTGCCATGTTGTTGTTGATTCTTGTTCCCCAGTTTTGTGGAGGAACTCTGGTATAGTCAAACATCCATGGATAACATTCTGATAACCAAACAAGCCATATATGTAGGTCTTGTTTTGCTATTCGAATTCTGGTCGCCATGTTTGGTTTCCAGAGGGTAATTATATGCATATAGGCACCAATAAAAAACAATTACGTTCTTCAAGTGATCCCCACTCTGACACACTATTTTTTCTCATAAGTTCTGACATACCATCTGGAAGTATATATGGGATAGGCACAGAGATAAATATATATATATATATACTTGTAAATATATATATATATTTGCCATTCTAACCGGCATCTATTCTGACATATTTCTGGCATATATTCTGACATTCTATCTGGCAGTCTGTCTGGCATCTATTCTGACATTATTTCTGGCATCTATTCTGGCATTCTGTCTGGCACCTATTCTTTCTATCTGGCATTCTCTCTGGCATCTGTTCGGGCCCCGGTGTGACCCACAGCGTAGCTCGTGATATGGAGTTCGGTCCAGGTGTGGCCCACTGCATCCAGAGCTAGGCGATCGGGGATAGGGTTCGGGTCCAGGCGTGGCCCACTGCATCATACCTGGCGGTGTGGTTCGGTCCATGGGGCACACTGCATCCGGAGTTGGCGATATGGTGTTCGGGTCCAGGAGTGGGTTGGACGAAGGCGGGAGTGAAGGCGGGAAGGAGTGAGTGAGTGAGTGCGTGCGTGCGTGGGTGCGTGCGTGCATGCGTGCGTGCGTGCGTGGGTGGGTGGGTGAGTGGGTGAGTCGGTGAGTCGGTGAGTGGGCTGCACCCTTGTTCAAATCTTGATACCATCACCTGGCAAGTGTCGAAAAAAGGGATAGAGCCAGGTATGAAAGATTGATGTAAGATTATGCTTGGCGTACCAACGGGGTGGAAGACCAATGACATCAGCCAAGTGGCTGGCATTCCGAGATTGCTTGGCATGTGTTTGTTCTGCTCATTCTTAGTCTTAGGGAGCAATGTTTTGAACAGGCAAAATCTCAGGAATTGATTTTTTGATGTACCAGCCACCACATAGCTCAACAGTGTTCAGTCGTGCTGCTAGGCCAAGAAGCATTTTCAGCGAGGGAATTTGATCGTTGTTTTGGTCTCCATTGAGCGAATTGATATGAGGAAGATGCTGGAGACTCTTGACTGCATGGGTCTGATGACTTGGGTTATCTTGAATTTGTGGGAAGAGGAATGACTTGGTTCGCATGGTGTGACTCGACTCACCTGGTAGGCACCTACCTAAAACGAGGAAAATTGCTAGAGATTGGAAGCCTTCATATCCATTAAAAACTTCATCCACGACCGGCAGCTTTGTCGTTTTCAGGCTTGGTTTCCAAGAGGATCAACTTGCTATAGGGAGCTGGCCTAGGATGGCGGTACTAGAGAACAATTATGGGTGCAAATTCTTCCAACAATGATGGGTTTGGATCCTCCAAAAATATTCAAAAAATGAAACGCGATGGACCACTATCCTCAAGCAGTCATGGAGACTATAATGGAATGTCAACCCAAACTTCACCATCAAACCTGGTTGATTGCAGTACTTAGGCCGAATACTCTCCAATAGCATCAGGGTCAACATGTGGTACAGTATACGTATAATATAACAATTTCCCTGTAAGGGGAATCTCTCTCTCCAATCAAACACCCCATGATAGCCCTTGATGCTTTTCTCTTCAGATAGTAATATATAGTAATATCATATGTGCAGCCTGTTTTTGGCACAGGCCTTTTCCCAAGCCTGGGGTTTCTTGTCACGACACCAAGAGATCCAGGCTAAAGGGTGAACAGCACCGACTCAGAAGGGTCGACGTCATCATGCGCTCCTTGGATCTCCTTGGCGCTTGGTCAGATGTGACCCATTATGGGTTTCACCCTTTGTGAAGTCGCCAGTATAGAGGGATGATGCTGATAAAGCGGGTATTGCAGAAGTGTGAGTATTGTGTGTCAGTGTAGTTTCTGGTCATCACTCTATGTGATCTTGAAGATGTTGAAACATGCAGCAGGCAGAATATGTTCATATGTTAGCAAGCAGGCGCACTGCCCATTGAAGGTTGGTTCGAAGGTCTGCCCATTAGCCCCTCCAGATGCATCCTGACTACCTGTATCAACATGCAGTACGGTATAGTACGGTGATATTTCACAGCGTTGATTTGAGGGAAACCTGGGGGAGATCATGTTTTCCCTTCCCAGATCAACTCTCCTTTGGTTCATGGAATCCTGGAAGTTCACAAGTTTTTTCCCAGCCACATAGATGTTGTTGAACAACATGTTTAAAAGGGTATACGTATCACCTATCTAAGGCTGCCGTAGATTATCCATATTTGATAACGAAAAACTGTAATGTGGCCAACCCAATAACATAAACCTACCATTTGGGGACGTTTTTCTACCGTTTATGCAACAAGTTCTGGTAAAAAAGGGGATCAATGACATTGGCTTTGCCACATTTTACGATCAGCGGGCAAAGACGCCTACAATGGGTTTATTACCTACACTTTATACCGTAAAGCCTACCCTCTGGTAAACATAAAAAAAAAAAACAATGGAAAATCACTAGTTTTAATGGGTAAATCAACTATAAATGCCCATTTTCAATAGCTTTGTTTGTTTACCAGAGGGTATTAATTGCTCATAGACGTCTTTACCACATGAGCAACTGTCAAAACTCGCGGATACTTAGATATGTATTGGCTGGACATTGGTTTTCAGAAAGTGCAAAAAACTGAGGTTAGCGATGGGACCTTCCCAAATAGCGATACCCCATGTTGAATTCAATAATTAATAATTATATTTCATGAGTGTTGATTTCGTCAAGTGCTCGCATTGGTGATAGGCTTGGGCTCAGGGTTGAAAAGGAAAGGAACAGGACGGAAATGAAAAGAAAAAGAAAAGGAAAAGGTCAGGAACAGAAAAAGGAAAAGGAAAGAGAAAGGCAAAGGAAAGAAAAAGAAAAAGAAACGAAAAGAGAAAAGAAAGGAAAAGGAAAGGGAAAGAAAAACGAAAAAAGGAAACGAAAGGAAAAGGACAGAAAAAGGGGAAGGAAAGGAAAATTACAGAAAAGGGAAAGGAAAAGGACGGGAAAGGAAAAGACTAGTTTCACAAGCAAATGATAATGCACCCGCCTGATTCTGCAAAAAAAGCAGGTCGGTTTTAGCGATACCATAGCGATGCCTTAGCGATACCCAAGCGATACCCAAGTTCACCCAATTGCACAGGATCCCCAACTACTTGTACCTGTACTTCTACTTCTACTACTAAGTCTTCTATTGTAGTTCTGCTTCTACTACTACTACTGCTACTACTACTACTACTACTGCTATTATTTGAATTCCTGCTACTAACGCCAGGATTGTGTTCCTAGCCTTGCAAATATTTCTAATACTTCCTTATTCTTAGTACTACTTTTACCAGTATGTGCGCTGCTAGCACTTCTAGTACTCCTAAAATCTTGGCACAATTCATACTAGTAGTACATACAAGTATGAACAGTACTACGAATACAATATCATATCTACTTCAGCTGCGTTTAGCCTTAGCGATACCCCTTGTAAATCAATATTGCGCAATGATGGTAAAATTGCTACGAAACTGTGGTTAGCGATGGGACCTTTCCAAGTTATGTTGATGTCCTTTTCATGAACAAGGAGTTTTGACAGCCGAACACATTGGGTTTAATGTCAAGTGAGGATTAATAATCCCCTCCCGATTAATCAACCACCATTGCCAAAAAAAAAAGTAGTTTAAAAACAGGTGGTCCCCCGAGATTAATAAACCGGTGGGCCTACCCGCGATTAATCAACCACCAGTGCTGAAATCCAATTTTTTATCCAACATTTTTTATTTCCAATTCTATTTATTTCCAATTGTTTTTTACCTTTTTTTAATCATCATTGTTATACTTCAGGTTTAAGTTGATCATTGAAAATTTCAAAAAACAACTATTCCCCAAATGATCGATTTCTAATTAAAATCTTTATTAAAAACATCAGTTTGGATAGCTCCCAAAGGGTACCCCCCATGAGCCCATGTCCCCCATTAATAATAACCATGGTTTGCCCCTGATTAATCAACCACCTTTCTGATCCATGAAATTTTAACAAATCCAATGGAATTCTATTAAGATCTAATTGACGTAAGCCATATCCAAAGTTTTATGGTTCAGAATTTTATGGTTCAGGGCCGTTTATTTACGTGTGATTTTCTAGGTACCTCCTACCTTCTAGGGAGGGGGGTTTATTAATCCGGTGTTGGCATTAATGACAATATATAGTCGCTGGATGTCACTGGGGATGATTGTATCATTGGTATAAGGTACAAATCAATGATAAAATCATTTGAATCACAGGACGCATCGCTCACCCCATGAGCAGGCTATCAGCGTACCAACGCGACCCCCAGTCCAAGATTTGGTTTAGTGGAAAATATGGGAGAACTTACACGAAACCTCCCATTCATGATATGTATATATGTAAATGTGACATGTATGCCATATAAAATATATATATACATATATATATTATTAATTGATTGGTTCGTGGTTTGAAATATGTTCTTCCTTGTTCAACTCCCTTTAGGATGATGATCCACATTCATTGATATTTTAGCCATCTGCGGGCACAGTCCAGACTCTGTCGTAACTTCATAGCGAAAAGTTTCAGGAGGTTAAAACCACCAGACCAGTAAAATACCGCATATCTCCACAACAAACCGAGTGAATCGGTGGACCAGGCTTTTTACGCTTCGTGCCACTGCCACTGAAGCCCGATTTCGAAGAAGTGCTTTTGTCACAGCTGTGTCCCTTGGAGCTGATTGACCTGAGTTCTTGTCCCTACCAGGAAAACCAGAAAATGTGGATGTCCCAGACATGTTATGACGTTGATGTTTTCTCAGTAGACCTTTCTACTGTAGTTGTCCGCAAAAGAAAATCCAGGAATACTTTGTCCATTTGGCCAGGGCGCCCAGGTCGCAACATGATTGGCAACGTGCCCTCGCAGTTGACCCGGCAGATGTGCGAAATCGGTGGCGTGAACGTGGAAGTTGAAGCCAAGAGCCTTGGATTTGAGATGTTGATGTCGTTGATTTGCTCGGGCATGGATATCTTCAAATAAACTTAACAGTGACTTGACATAGCTATGGAAACCATGGCTCATTTATTATTAGATGATGCACCTATGTGAAATGGTGATTTTCCATGGCAGTGTTAGTTTGCAAGAGGGCAATGGATATGGTAGTGCCCGCATGGTAGATATTGGTAGGTCTACCCATAGGGAGGATATCCCTAAGGACAAGGAAATCCAAGCAAAGATATCAAAGATATCAATTTGGTTTTGATTGGTTGTGTATGTTAGTCTACCTAGTACTTCTGCATGTGTGTATTTTGATATATTGATATATTTTGATTGGCATGTTATACATATGGGTCATATATGGATTTGTTTGACTTTTTGAAGGGATGAATGGAGTTGTTGCCATCATCTCTGAGCATAAGGTGCCGCCAAAATCCATAGGACAAATGGACGCACTGTCCGTATGAATTGGGGTGTTGTAAATGCCCCCATGTTCAGACATCCAATTGTCATATTGATCGCTGCATACCTCAGGATTTAGCATATTATCAAATGCCCACGAAACAGAAGCAAAACCTATTCATGGATGAAATGCAATTTTTTGATACTTGCAATCTACTAAACCAACATAGATGTGGAAAACCCACCGTCTGTAAGATTATATTCAAAGAACAAATATCCCGGACAAAAAGCAAGGGATATTTGTTTTTGCTTAAAGTCCTGATAACTCTGTTGTAAAAAACCACCCCTTTTGGGGTAAAGGTACGCATTTTCGGTGGCAATACAGGAAAAGCAGGAAATCAAACAGTTCCGCTGGGCAGAAGTCAAGGAATTTTAAATTGGATTAAATTTGGATAAAAAACAGTTAAATTTGGAATAAATTTGCTTAAAATAGATCAAAGCCCTATTATTTTCTGATAATGTTTGAAGGATTTGAAGTTTCAAGTGGTCAAATTAATCCAGATTTGTTGGATTTTAGTTGCCCTCTATATTTTCCTTTTTAATTTTTCCTTGATATATCCTTTTCCTACGGAAACCATGGGTTTTCCACATTTCTGTATGTCCATCCCAGGGTGTAAACCTTCATTTTTTCGGGACCGGAGGGACCATCAGCACCAAGGAGCAAGGAGCAGCAGGCAGACTATTTGTTGGAAGCCATGCGGCAGTTGGATGAAGAGCCTTGCTTCGTCACGGTTCGTCCTGTTGAGGCTTACCCTCCAAGATGCCTGTGGCAGCTATGGAAAGCCACAGCTTTCCGGCTTTCCGGAAAATGATCTAGGAACGGTGGATTTTCAATATGCTAGTTTACTGGATGGTAAGTCGAGCGGGGGAAGAAAACTGGATGGGGGCTCAAGCCCCAATTTTTCTTTGTTCCTTCTGTGTCACATCTTGATATGTATTGACTTCCAGTGAAATCATGGTATGCTTCTTGGGTAAATCATTCTTGGGTGACGAGTTGATTAAATCCAGAATTTGTGTTGGTTTAAATCTTATATTTTGATGGTTGGCTGATGGTTGACTGCCAATTTGAATTTGGAAAATCCTGATGTTTGACGGTTCATCCTCATATTGTGATGGCCATATGCCATATGTGGCAGGTTCATCGTTTTTGTTGGTGAATTCCAATGTTTTGTTGTTTGAGTCCTAATTAGCTGATGGTCCAACCCTTATTTTGATGTTTGATTCCAACTTTTGCTTTGTCAAGGGTCAAATCCGTTGAAATCTACATTGTTTGGAATGTTTGGTTTTGTTTATATAAACCCTTCACATTCCCTTTGTTAATGGTCAAGTCCCACAAAACCAGCATTTGTTACTGTAGATCCCATACAACCAGCACTTTTGGCTGCTTCAACCATCGTGTCTACCCATATTCCATCATTTTCTCAGTGAATTCACCATGTTTGGCTGGCTAAATCCCATAAAATCATATGAAATCCCATGTTTGATGCTCTTTTAAGTCATGTTACGTCCCTTTTTCCCGAATGCGTAGCAAGGGTTCCCGTTTCACTCTGGGGGTCTGGGGGTTGAGGGTGTGTTCGCTCGACGTTGCGTTCACGGTCGCAACCGTTCGCAACCGTCCGCGCGAGGACCATATGGCCGTGCCTATGGGAAGTTCTGCAGGAAGGATCATTTTTGGAGGTTTCAGACGTCGGGTTGCTTCGTTTCGTGTGGCAGGCGTGGCACTTCGTGACATTCAGAGGTGTTTTGTAACATGTCGAAAGTCGTTTTGTGTGGCAGGCGCAATACTTTTGCGACGTTTTCACAAGATGTGTTGCAGTTTTCGTGGCAGGCGCAGGCAGCACTTTGGACGTGTCCATCGGTGGCAGGCGTGGCATTTTGTGCGATGTGCTGAAAATTGACGGGAGCCTCGCACGAAACATCGATTTTGAGGTTGCAAATTTTCAGGTTCTAAGGAAAACTCGTAGGAAAACGTCGATTTTGAAGCTACAAAGTGTGAAAATTCGAGGAAGTCTCGCACGAAATGCTCGTTTTGATGCTTCCACCTGTCTCGTCTCGCGTCATTGGTTTTATGGTGGCTTCGCCGTGTCTATGGGGGAAGCTGCAAAACATGTCTCTTCGGCATGTTTCAAAGTGTGAAAATTGGAGGACGTCTCGCACGAAATGCTCGTTTTGGTGCTCCCACGTGTCTCGTCTCGAGTCTCTGGTTTTCCTGTGGTTTCGCCGTGTCAATGGGGGAAGCCGCAAAACCTCTCCTATTCGAATGTGTCCAAGCAGGTTGTCATGTCGTTTTGCGTGGCAGGCGTGGCACTTTGTGACATTCCAAGCTGTTTGCTAACGTGTTGAAAATATCAAAATTGGAGGACGTCTCGCAGGAAATGCTCGTTTTGGTGCTCCCACGTGTCTCGTCTCGAGTCTCTGGTTTTCCTGCGGTTTCGCCGTGTCAATGGGGGAAGCCGCAAAACCTCTCCTATTCGAATGTGTCCAAGCAGGTTGTCATGTCGTTTTGCGTGGCAAGCGTGGCACTTTCCTCACTCCACACTCCACACTTTACACTCCTCACTTTACACTCCACACTCCACACTCTACACACCACACTCTACACTTTCCACTCCAGACTCCACACTCTACACTTTACGCTCCACACTCCACTCCACACTTTACACTCCTCACTCCACACTCCACACTTTACACTCCACACTTTACACTCCTCACTCCACACCCCACACTTTACACTCCTCACTCCACACTTTACACTCCGCACTTCACACTCCACACTTTCCACTCAACACTCCACACTCCACACTTTACACTCCACACTCCACACTTTACACTTCTCACTCCACACTTTACACTCCACACTTTACACTTTACACTCCCCACTCCACACTTTACACTCCACACTCTATACTTTACACTCTACACTATACACTCTACACTCCACACTTTACACTTTACACTCCACGATTTCCACTTTACACTCCTCACTCCACACTTTACACTCCTCACTTTGCACTTTACACTCCTCACTCCACACTCTACACTCCACACTCCACACTCTACACTCCACACTCTACACTTTACACTCCATACTCCACACTCTACACTTTACACTCCACACTCCACACTTTGCACTTTACACTCCTCACTCCACACTCTACACTCCACACTCCACACTCTACACTCCACACTCTACACTTTACACTCCATACTCCACACTCTACACTTTACACTCCGCATTCTACACTTTACACACTCTACACTCCCCACTCCACACTTTACACTCCACACTCCTTACTTCACACTCCTTACTTCACACTCCACACTCCACACTCTACACTTTCCACTCCACACTGCAGACTGGTAACAAGGGAAACATGCACAAGACTGTTCAAATAAACTATTGCAGAAAGGTATTGTGCGTCACTGCATAACCATGTGTTTTGACATCTGTACCATTAACATACGTGTGAGCATTCGGGTTCGTGGGCTTCATCTTGTTTTTCATGCTGAAACCGCTAAACCGACCACGTTTGCCAAGGAAGACATCCAAGACGCCAAGAACCGTCGAAGCTATGCCTTTGGCGGCGACGAGGTTTGGCCCTTCTTCTGTGGCTATGGCCATGCCAAGGTGCGACATGTGCCCACCACAGCGTGCTACCCCAGGCGGCTGGGTCATGGTGTGGTAAACTTGCCATAGTCACCACCCCAGTCACCAACCATGACTGGGGGTCACTTTACATCATCCCAAATGGGGGTATACACTAACCTATTGGAATGCACATGAAGAGGTGATGGTTTATGATTGGGTTTGCCACATTATAGTAATTCTGGAGTTAGTTTATCGAATTGTAATTGGGATAAAATAGACTTAGTAACTGGATTGTTTAACCAGCTACAGGTTGGGATGAACCTCCAAATATGTACCCACTGGTAAGCTGACAGTTTGCTATGGAACATCGGGTAAATCATAGATCTAATGGGTCATTATCATCCATTTCCATTAGCTATTGTGAAATCCCCAGGGGGTAAACCATGAACAACTATGAAATTAAATTGATCATGAAGAAATGATGGGTTTGAGTTGGGAGATGATGGGCGAAGTGATTTCTGAATGTTATTTGTATGTCTAGTATACCGTTGATCATGTGGGGGTGTGGTCAAAACTATCCAGAACAGGCGTCTAACTAAGAAAATTGTGGGTTTGAGACACGTTTAACAATCAATAGTGGGTAAGCTTGGTCGAATTATGCCAAACTAACCATCAACAAGTGTAGAAACCTTGGATGGGAGTGGTTTAACCCTAAGCAGCAGGCGATTTTGAAAAGCAGTACGTTCTGGGTAAGGTGACTGATGAAGGGTAGTTTATATAGTATATATATATTATATATATATATACAAGTTCATGTCTTGCCGTATTGAGGGGTGGATACTAACCACCCTGTCTTTTGTGTGTGTGTGTGCAGAGTATCCAAGATTGGCCAAGAATAACGTGGAGGGCAACCAAGTTTTGGACATAAGGGTGTCCGCTGGAGCAGGGGACATCACACGGGTCTCATTTGAGATTTCTATTGCTTGCATGTTGAATCATATAGTAGAGGGTATGGACGGATATATATATATATATATATGTATCTACTTGATATATTTATATATATACATATTAATATACATATTGAAATAGCTATCATTGATTTGTATATGTACGTGCTTACACCTACATTGTATATGCACAGTGAACTATTCACACATACATGTCTACACAGATCTATGTATATGTATTGGTACACGGTTTGTGTATCCCTACTAGTTTGGCGCATATATGCACATTTAAAAAAACATAAATATGTATGAGTATTTCTTCTAAGTACATCTGTAGGTTTTGAGCTACCCGCAGATCCAACGTCCGTGGCCCTGAGGCAAGTGACTTGCAGCATCGCTCCCCACGTCCCCGACTGAAAGCAGACCGGCCGACTGCTGGCCGTGCTCGGCCGTGCTGTTGAGCAGCTGAGATGATCAAAGTTTCTACTTGGAAGTTCATCCCTAGTTTGCATGCACAAAGCAGACTATCTTCCATGTGCATATATATATATATATAGTACAATTAAACAAAAATCACTACAATATATATATATATGTATACGCAGATAATATGTGGATATACCGATGCCAGAAACTGTATATGATACACCCTTGTCTATGCATGTAGAACCCAAGCAGGGCAAAGGTGGACAAGAAACCCTAGCAACTCAAGCAGTACAGAGCTGGAGATGGGAAAACCGTTGTACGAGGTTCAGGATGCCTACGATTTACTGCGGAGGCATTGGTGACATTTGTTATGGCCTTATTGTTTGGCCACAAAATTCTGGATTTCTTTCTTTTCGACGATTCCTTCCAGGGCATTTGGATTCGCCACGTTCTGTGACACAGTGACCTTGCCTATAACATAGCAAAGTATGCATATATGATAATAAATATGTGTAAATATATATGTATATACAGTATATATATATATACAGTATAAATATATATATATACACAGTATATATATATATATACTATCCGTTCATTCTCCGTGGCATTCCAAAACTCCAAGACTGAGCGGCCAAAAAGACACCCCGATGGTTCTGTAGTGTGGCTCGCGAACTTGAACCTCGATGCAGAAAATTCGATTCCATGTCTCACCTGAGCGGTTCGACGCAGATTGACCTGAAAAAAAGGTTGGGGCTTGACGCTTGACGATTGCACTTACCCAGGTGGTAATGCTCTGGAACATGGCCCATTTATGAAGGATCTACCCTGTACAAGTGGTGCTTTCCATAGCTATGTTCAATTTAAAGGGTGGCTGGGTATACAAAACTGGTTGGCTCACATAAAACCCAGGAAACGTGTGGAGGTGAATCAGGAGGTGAATAATTGAAGAGGTGATTTTTATATATAATAGAAATGATTTAGTGAGATCGCTGCAGATTCGCGTCGTGATACTTCCATAGCGCCCAGAAATCGGCAAAAAAACACAAACAAGATCTCCCACAATCAATGTCAGTCGCAATCTCTCTCACGTTAGTCGCGTGGTTGAAATGCAAACTGGTCCAAGGGACGGATAATTCTGGTGGCTTCCTGGATCTAGTTTAATCATTTGTTATTTGTGTTTTATTTGTGTTTTTTCCTCACTTCGTTCAAAAGCTGGTACATATGTTTGCACTTTATTGCATTTGCAACCCTTGATGGTTTTGTATATGCTCCTTGTTTTCTACGAACACTGGAACATCTAATATCCAGGGGCCTTGCGGTGAATGAAAGGCTGCTTGGGTGAATGTCCCATAGTTTTTTTTAGCGACATGTTTATACACGCAGGAAGCTAACCATGGTTCTACTTACAGAAAGTTGTCACGTGCTACCACGCCCCCAATGTTATGTTAAAAAATGGTAACACCAACTTTTTGATGACTGAAATGTACTGAAGTCATTTGAAGTCAATGTAGATTCTGTACTTGTTACTGTCGGATTGTTAGTCACTTCCCAGTTCAAAGAAGCACTGTTAGGTTTTATGTCATAGGTACGTGACCTCAAATCGTGAGAGAAGAGGGTTCTTGTGTATATATATATTATGACCTAGATGTACCCATAGACCATCAATTTTGACGTTGGCAGAAATCCCACGTTTGTTTTCATTCCCATCATGCCAAGGTCGGTCATCTTCTGAGAGTTCATCAAGTTTTGGACCTTTGACTCATCGGTAGTGCACCAGTGATCCCCACAAGAGACAGAGGTACACCGTGGGGCTCGCAGGCTATAAATTGGTAGAAATGTGTACCCGCCCAACTGATCCCAACGGTATATCTATCATGAACCTTGGCCGACTTGTGCACCAACTGAGCTAACGTTGGGAAAAGGTGGGGCTCGTATGCTCTGACCTTCGATCATCTAATCTAGAAACCACCTCTAGGTGATGTTCCAATTGAAAGGTATATAGATCTTTGGGTTGCCGGGTTGGATTGCCAGACAGTAGGGGAAGATACGGTTCCGGATCCCAACTCATCACCTTGAAAAATCCGCAATACCTCACACGGCATTCGTTGACTATGTAACCTAAGAAGTATCAACTCCTCTGGCTTTTCACGGGTTCTGCGCAGGATCTGAATGGAATTGGTGGGTAAATATGTTGCGTTTCACAGGCAACTGGGGATCCGTGACCGCGGGGATCACCGAGGTCATTCAGATTCGTCACAGAGAGACCAGAAGCGCCTTGGAGCCAAGCCATACTGCTCAGTGGATCGTGCTGGGTCCAGCGGTTGATAGAATAATTATTGTGTGGATCAATATCTTCAGTGGATTGATTCAAGGGAAAAAATAATGGGAATAACAGAGTTTCTCTACCAGTCAATACGTTGATGTCTTTTTCAGGGATGTTTTCTTTTGCTAACGCCATGAGTCTCAACCACTGAAATTGGGTTGATGAAAATCCCAGCTGGCACAACTTGGTCCCTGTTTATTTAGTGTGACAAAGCCAGACCGCAGCTCGCGAATGGGATAGAGGCACCAGCCTTTACAATGCAGCACATCGCCAGGCACAATCAAAACGATCCACATCACGATCTCCATACGCAGCACCTTGGATGATGTATCTCTGGCCCTTTTGTGACGCTATCAACAAACCTATGAAGAAACCTGCTAAAAAACCATCACAATCCTATTAGAAAGAAGGGCATTCTAACTCCCCTCACAACGCAACTATTGTTCAAAAACGGAAAACTCTATACCTATGAGCTACTGTATCATACTGTATCTACCTCAAACCCAACAGTGAAATGCGCGTGAACGCCAGCTTCGCTAACATTATATTCTGAATCCCTAGTTTAGCTGGTGGTTAAATCTGTTTTTACTCCCATAAAACAGCAATGATTCACGGCTATATCCCATATATTACCGTATATAAAACCAGCATTTTTCATCGTTAACCCCCATAAAACCACATCAAACCATTTTTCATGGCTCCATCCCATAAACTATTTCCCCAGGCTAAAGGAGGAGCTCCGCCGGCGCCGCAATAGCGGCTCCCTGGGCAGCACCCACAGTGCCCGCAGCACGCCGCGGTCCTCGGGGAGTGGACCTTCATATGTGGACTACGCAGGCAGCCGGTGGATCTCTGATCAAAATGGGTGGATTTCATGGGGAGATTTTGATTCATGGGAAGCAGATGGGAGAATATGAGTGATACCCTCTGGTAAACTAACATAGCTATGGAAAATGACAATTTTTGTAGTTGATTTACCTATTATACATGGTGATTTTCCATAGTTATGTTAATGTTAAGATGATGATGATGATGATGATGATGATTGATATCTATATTGATATATGTATATAATCTATATAATATTTCATCCTCCCCTTAAACGGATGTTTTTTGATGCTATAGATATATGTATCTCTGTAGGTTCCATATTGTAGTTTATAATTGCAGCAAAATTGATATTATGGGATAGAAATATGATGGGATATTGACTGACAAACAATACGATACTACTTACTGTAATTAATGGGATAAGATGGGATTATTTTTTTAGGATAGAGTTAACCAACAATTTAGATAATATAGATGATCAATATAGATACCCATTTGTAAATAAATAAGGGGCTGCAGCCCTTCCTGTAGGTTAATGTGATGATTTCCTCTGAAATCTGGGACCACCAAATCATCCAGAACTTTTGGACGTACCTCACCCGTGAAAACCGCTACACAGATGATTGTTAGTACAGGATGAATAATCCTAAATGCATCCTGAGTCTAATATTGACCTTCCGAATGCTATGTTGACTTATGTTGACGTTTGCTTTTCTGACTCAAAGCGCGAAAACCTATTCACAAGTTGCTATCAAACTGAAACCCTGCAATTGCTTAGCACAACTGTCAAATGCGATAGATACTAAGCAGCTAAAAGATCTTTTGGTAATTCCGGGATTGACAGTACATCGAGGCCCTCCTCTGGCACCACCCTTGCAAGGTGGCAGCATGAGCGGGCCTAGTCAGGTTACAGAGGCCGGGGATGCCTGGCAGCCGAGGATCCAGCAATTAGCCCTTCTGGGTAATGTGAACGTCGTCAAAGCTAAACCTGTGTTGCTTAGATTGATGAATAGTTGTTTTTTTTTAATACGGGATTACTACGGAACCCCCTAGCAAATCCTACCAACAGGCAGGAAGCATGCTGGGTACATTTGGGTACTAGTATATGGAAGATTTGCCAGGAGGGTTGAATGTCTTTTCGCTCTAATAGAGGGGGTCCCCTTTGACCCCAACATTAGCACGAAAAGGTAATTAAATGGATGCAAATGGTCTCCCAAACCACCCATTGATTTTCTTGCAAAGCATATATTTGACCAAGGGACTTTCAGGGTTGATCCCTCCCATTATATGACCTGCCGAAGGATTCGTGTTCCCTTTCATCCTTTTTCTCCTTGTGCGTGAGTGACTGAAAACAGACCACATTGTTTGTTCCATTTGCAAAGGTGCGAGTTGGACGCCAGTTGTAGATGATTGCCCGGTTCCAAATTGCGGTTTTAATTATTTACAGCCAATGCTTTGTTATTAGAGGGTGCCCCATATACAACTGGGGAAACGAATTGACCGTTATTGGAAGAAGCGCCACTCCGGAGGGGAACATCGAAGTTCATTGTGTTTCACACCCTTCACACCCACTGAACATGACCATGTACCGATTTTGTTGGCTGGAAAGCTGGAAAGCTGGACATGGTAAATGTTTGGGTTTTAATCGTTTTATTTCAGTGGTGCAGATGGTGCAGTTCTCGTGATTTCAATTCAATGAATATCTCGCTCTCACCATCCCCCAAGTAATAGAAAAAACCCGAGAACCAATCATTGTTCGAGGCACCGTTGTCATGTTAGTTGAGGGGATCCTAAATTCACTAAAATCAGTTCTATCTCCATGGTTGAGGAAAATATGGAAAACATGTTAAAACAAACAAATTGATCCAATTTGTTGTTGAAATCATTTGATCCACAGATCGACTGCGAAAAAATGATCGCAGTCCG